GACCATAAATATTGGAAAAGGATGAAAAGGCATTGATTTTAATAAAAACCAGACTTGGCCATTATAACCAGAGTTAGGTAAGGGAGTTAGTTACGTGTGGGGAAGGTGTTAGCACCCCACAACGCCCCTTTCGGGTTCCCTATGACAGATTAATTCATTTAAGTAAAGACTACGAGAAATTACACGATTACCCTATTTTATTACATAATATTAAATAGCTATCTACATGATCTTATTCTATATTGCATGCATAAAATAATGAATAAGGCTAAATAAAGCAATAAAAGAGATAAAATGGCTATCTACATGATTTTATTCTACATGGCATAAATAAAGCTAAATAAAACAATGAATAAAGCAATAAAAGAGAAGAGAATTGAAAAGAACCTCTGTAGCAAGCTTGATATTGAGAATCTCAAACTGTGAGGATGCGTTTTGGCAACCCCTCTCTCTACACAGACTCTCCTCACCAATACAAGATCGACCCCACTAAAAATTTAAAGAAGAATCGAATGCCGGAATATAATTCCTTAACCGATTGTTACCTATTTAAGGCAATCGGAAAGATCATTCAAGAGAGGGAGAGAAATAGACAAGTGCTCTGAGTTTTAGAAAGTGTTTCAGAGCTCTCTGGAGTGTCTGGGGTGTGAAAAAGTGACAAATGAGCCTCCTATTTATAGTTTTCGCAGCTGGCGCACTTCGGGACCACCGTCTGGACCTGGGACGGCCGTCTGGACTGGGACGGCCGTCCCAAATGGCAAAATTACACAGGCTGGGACCCCCTGGGGACCCGGGACGGCCGTCCCACTTTTCTGGGGCTTGGGACGGCCGTCCCAACTTCGGGACGCGCGTCCCAACTGGCTGGAGCAAGTTGGGACGGCCGTCCCACCTTTGGGACGGCCGTCTCGACTGTTCTGGCCAGTTTCGCGCGTTTCGGGACTCCGGGAAGCTTTCCTTGCCTGTTTTGGACGTCAGTTGATGCCGATATGCGTCTGTTGAAGCTTTATCTTCATGTAGGAAGTCTCCTTGGCTCTTATTTGTAATGCTAGACGAGCTTTATCTTGTTACGGGTGATCTCCTTTATCTTTATTTGAGAGACCGGGCAAAATTAGGGGTCTACAGTCAACACTCTTAAGATGTCTGATAACCGAACTGATCTTAAGAATGAGTTTTTGTAAAGGGTTCTGGAGTCGCCACCAATATTTTAACCGAAAACATTGGAAAAGAAAAAAAATGCATTGGTTTTAAGAAAAACCAACTTTTGCCATTATAACCAAAGTTGGGTAAAGGAGTTAGTTACGTGTGGGGAAGGTATTAGCACCCCCACAACGCCCCTTTTAGGTTCCCTATGATGGACCATTCTTGAAATAAAAACAATGGAATTATACTTTTACCCTATTTATTTATTGCAAAATTTAAATAGCTATCTACATGGCCCTAATAACTAATACATACAAGGAAAGTAGTAAAAGAAAGCGATAAAAGAGAGAATAGAGAAAGGAACCTCCGAAGCAAGCTTTTTATAAATTCTTCAAACTTGAGGATGCTTTATGGTAATCCCCCTTGACCAAAAAATAAAACTTATACTCTTAAGTGTCTAAAAGATCACTCAGACTCCGAAATAATACTCAGAGTCTCCCAGAGGTCTTAGAATACCTTCTAGGTAGAGAGAAGGGTGTGAAAGTGTGTGAAAATGGGTGGAATGAGACTCCTATTTATAGGAAAACGCGCTAGGCAGGCCGGGACAGCTGTTTGGGCTTCTGACAAGTGAGATGGTCGTCTGGGATTTTGAGACGGTCGTCACGCCTTAAGGAAAAAGTGAGACGGTCATCTGGAAAAATGAGATGGTCGTCTCGCCTTCGAACGGAAGTTTTCTGGTCTTTATTATAAGGCCAGGCAAGAATTGGGGTTTACAATCAGAACTCAATAAAAAAGATATGATGAGGAAAGTGAATTTGATGATGACTATAAATCTGAGGAAGATAATTATGATGATAATCGTGATCATGAACATGAATTTGATAAGAAAATGATGATGATGAATGATTTTTTGTATTTTCATTTTGGTCAGTATGCAATAACTGTAAGCACATTTGGTATTGTTCCCATCAAATTATTTTGTTATTGTTTTAGACATTTCAATGAATGTTATTGTTTAATTCATTACTATTAGTTATTATTCACTTTTCTTATACATTTTTGTTATTTTTTATTGTTTGTGTATATGTTTGACAAAAGAAAAACAAAGCTTATTTTAAAAAGTCGTTTAATGAAACATCAATTCAATCAATTACTAAGAAACAACATAGTTGAACCACAAGTTGGACGTCCATTAGTTGGAATTCTTCCAGAACATGTTAATTTTACTCCTTCGATACAAAATAAGTCTACTGAAGTCCCTTCTGTTGGACCACACATTGGTCGTACTCCACCACTTGGAGGCAATTCTAGATCTCTTCCATTTACTACTCCACCTTTAGGAGTATAGTCACCACATGGGACACCTATTGTTTCCTCCACAAAGTCTTCAAACATCTAACCATCCAACACATGAAACATTTGCTTCTGTTAGAATCACGCAGCGGAATGTTTGCATTTACGGACAAAAACCAAGAGGGGGTGAATTGGTTTCTTAAACAAAAATTAGGGTTTTAAAATTTTTCCCAAATTTCACCGATTAAAATGTTGTGTAAATTAAATAGAGAAGGGATAGAAGATTACACAGTCGATTTATACTGGTTCGGATCAAAAGACCCTACATCCAGTTGCTAATCACTCAAACAGAGGATTAACGTTGTCACTATAATCACAGTTTTACAAACAGATTACAAATGAAAAGATAAGGTAAAGAAAACACCTCTCTTGAGTCACACAAGAGATGAACACCTCCTTTGAATCCACAAAGGATGAAGAACAACTTTTCCTAGAGACGGCACAACACACAATCCACTAAGAAACCCACTCAGTGATTCTTATCGCTTCTAGCCCACACTAGGTTTTGAAAAGCCCCATTTTTCTTCCCTACAAACAGTTCTCTAGTAGTCACAACTCTAACTTTTGTATGAAAAAGGTTTGTTCAATTTGCAGAGAATCTTAGAGAACCTTAAGTAGAGAGATTAGGGTTTGGGAATTGGGGATTTTCGAAATTGGATGAATTGGGAATAGGGTTTTCAAAACTTGGTCCAATTTTGAATTTCAAAACACATATCCGACCCAAATAATCGATTATCTTGAGTGTTAATCGATAATTCCAGAGTCATTCTCGCAAAGGAGCAAAAACAACACCAGTTAATCGATTAACAGGCCATTTAATCAATTAACAGCCCAGTTAATCGATTAACAGCCCAGTTAATCGATTAACATGTCATTTAATCAATTATTCCAGAGAGCAAATGCTGAAAATGGTTTTCTTTCTATAATAATCGATTATCCTGCCATTTAATTGATTATTCCAGTGTATTTTTGATAAAAATGAGTTTTTAAAGCTTTTAAAGAGTGGTCTATGTGCTGGCTATATTGGACTCTAATATTACAGACTCAAAAACATAAAAACAGAGTTATTACGTAACATTATAAGTCTTTAAATCTTTAAGTCCTTTATTCTTGTATCATCATCAAAATCTACAAGCTTCATATCCTTGTATGTTCAACAGCTTCTCATGATGATCAAAGTGTATCATATGTCCAGAGCACTTGTGATAAACCTATTTTAACGCTTGATGGATAGGGGTAAATCACTTAAATTTTAACAATGTGATGTTTTGTTCACATTCTATGTGTAACTTGTACTTCATAAATTTATTTTTGTTGTAGATTTTTTCCTTCATACTTTGTAGCTAATGTCATTGGCGATATTTTCAAAAGTCATTATACTGATGCAAGATCATCATGGAAGAAGGTACCTGAAGTTACTAAAGACATGTTGTTTAGTGAGTTCATGGTATGCATTTATATTAGTTGTTAACTTTAAAAAAATTACAAATTATTGAATTTACTGTAGCATTTCCTTGTTTTATTTGCAAACAAAAAAAATATACTAATTATGCACTTGATCATAGGTTGGCAAGGAGGAACTTTGAAATGGGAGGTGCTACATTCTTTTATGAACTATGAATTATGAACTAAAACTTTTATTCTACTTATTGTATTTATTGTTATATTAGTTTATAGATGCTTTTATTAAACTTTTAATATGATAAAAAGTAATTAATCCATGGATGATGATTTTATATTAAACAACTTTTGTACTTTCATTTTGATAAATATTTGTATTATTATCTCATATAGTGGTATTCTGATAAATTTTGTATACAATATAATGTATTTATATAGTTTATATTACTTAATCATGCTTATTACTATTTTCAAAATTATATACAATGAAAAAAATTGAAAAATAAAATTAGTGCCCGATATAGTGACGAACTTAGTCAGTTACTGCTTCGGTTACTAATTCAATCATTGAATCGATCATTGATTCAGTCACTGAATTAGTTACTGATTCGGTCACTGATTCGGTCACTATACATCAGTGGCCAAAGAATGTCTGACTAACGCAAGTTAGTCACTATTTCGGTCACTATTTTCATTAGTGATTGATTTTGGTCAATTAGTGACTAATTTTTCTATCATTATTTACTAATTTTCTTGTAATGCACAAATCATGAAATTGGAATCACAATAGCACCATGAAACAAATTTCCCTTTCCTCACAGATACACACAACATACAATAGCTTCAATTTAAGTTAAAGACTAATAGAGTATACGATTCATATACTAAGACGAGGTCGAAAGTGAAAATGTGCAGTTTCAAAATCTTAAAAAACCTAGATATTAATATACTAGGAAATCCAAAGGTTTAATTGAGAAAAGTGTTGGGTGAATCTAATTAAAAAAAATAGAATGAAAACGAATCTAAACCAAATTAAAGAGATCGAAAACACTAACAGTAAAATGTTGTTTCTTTCTACCCAACAAAGTAGAGGGTAAATTCTAAAATTAACATGTGCAAGTTTCTACCCAAGAACACAAAATCACGTAACGATAGTAAGCCACAGAGGTAGCAGTAATACCAAACCAAGTGGCAGAGGCAGAATGATATTGAATCAAGTCGTGGAGGCAGAACAACACTGATTTGAACTGTAAAGACAACAGTGGCACCAAATCAAACCGCAAAGGTAGTACTAGCATCAAATCAAATCGTAGAGGCAACATAGACACCAAATCATATGATAGAGGCCACCATGGCACTGAATTGAACTGCGAAGGCGGCAACGACACCAAATCTAGCCACAGAGGCAGTAGTAGTTCCAAATCAAGCCATAAAGGCAGCAGTGGCACCGCAATGAACTACAGAGGCAGCAGTGACACCAAATATAACCTTGGAGGCAACAACGATATTGAATTAAGCTATAGAGACAATAGTGGCACAAAATCGAGCCACAAATGCAAAAATAACATTGAATCAACCCATAGAGGCAACAACTACACCAAATTGACCCACAAAGAGAACAACAATGTGACTATGGGTAAGAATCAAGTCATAGAGTGATTATAGGTGAAATAACCATGAAGAGGGATAATGAAGTGTAGATTAACCTGTAGAGGCAAAATAAGGTGAGAAAAACACCAAGATTTAAGGGCATAGTGAGTGAGGATAACATATACTTTATTATTTAACATTTATTTTGATTAAAAAATAAAAGAAAATAATGTAATAAAAATACTATTAATTAATATTAAAATAAAGTTATTAATATTAATTTCTAATTTATATATAAATAATATTAAATTTTATTTTTCAATTCTCATAAAATTATTTTCTTTTTAATTCTTCTTCAAAAACAAAATATAAAAATTATTAATTTAATAATTAATATTTTAATATTTATTAATTAAATAATTAATATTTTGATAAAAATAATTATATAAATAAACATTTATATTAATTATTAAATAAATGTTGGATTCATATTTATTAATTCAATGAAAATTAAATAAATATTTAATAATAAATAAATATAAGATACATATTTCTTTAATTAAACAATTAGTTTGTTAATATTTATTGATTACATAGTTAAAAGGTTAATATTCATTAATTATATAAATATTACAATAAATAAATAAATATTAGATTAATATTTATTAAATAAATTATTAATATTTTATTAAATAAATAAATAAATGAGTAATATTTATTATTTCAATAAATGATGGATTAATATTTATTTATTAAATAATTCATATTTTAATATATATATATATATATTGAATAATTATTATAGAAATATTTTTTATTAAATAATTAATATTTTAATTTTATTTATCTTATGATCGAATTATGGATGATTTATTTTTTAAAAAATATCATAAATTTACTGGCAGATTATATTTTTTCACTAAATTTTTTCAATAATTTAAATTTATTGACAGATTTTCTTTCGTCATTAAATATCCATAGATAGTTTTATATTTTCTTGTAGTATAGGCTACAAAGTTATAATGAAATTTATTGTTTGTAGAAATTTATAAAATAAAAATAGATTGTTAAATAACTTCATATAATTCAGTGATAGTGTGTGTTAGGTTAAATTGTATTTTAAGTGAAAGTTATGTATGATTTATTTCTCACAAAGATACATTTTATTAGTCGAGTTTTTTTCATCGTTTATAGATGTAAATAAAATCATAATGACAATTAAAATTTCATTTTCTTTATAAATAAAAAATAGTCCTACGATATATGTATACTTCCTCAACTCTAATCTTAAGACCTAAATTCAAATAATTAATTATGTCCTACAAATCACTTACTCACCCATTTGAAGTATTTCAAATAACATAAATTTCAAACCATATTTTAAAACTTAACATGAGATTTAAATATAATGCAAGTCAATGGTTCACATATTTAAGATTCATCTTTTTTTCTATCTAAAATTCAAGAAGGAACACTAAAACATACTTGCAAAGCAGTGACGGATCTTCTTGGGAGCTGAGGGGGGTCGTGACCCTCCCAAAAGTTTTATAACTCTCATGTAATTTATGATTTTGTCTCCCCCAAACTTAATGAACATTTAATATATTTACGTGTATATTTACAATTTTATCCTCTCAACCCCTCCTCAGTTTTGTAACTCTCATATAATTTATGATTTTGTTCCCTCAAACTTAATGATCATTTAATATTTAAGTATATATCTACAATTTTATCTTTTCACCCTTTTATCTTCTTTCTTCCTTTTATATTTATTTATTATTTATTAATAATATATTATTTGACACCTCCAAGATCAATGGTCAAGATCCGCCACTGTTACAAAGGGCATTGAATCAAACAAGTATTGTAAATACGAAATAAATTACAACTTTAATGATAACTATTATTCATTTTATCAAGGGTATCTTAACATATCACATGCTTGATTATTGAAAAGCCACTTTCTATTTACACAATAAAAAATTATAATAATAATGACAAAATTATGGGTGGAAACAAGAGCAATAATTAACTATTTATTATTTCAATTGAAAGAAAACTTATAAATTATTAGTTGTCCTGAAAAGATATTTACTCCGACATTAACTTTTTCTATCATATGGGTACTTAAATTAAACCAAACTAGTTTATTATCTCTTGTTTGAATGAGTATATTGCCCATATTTCTTACCATGTAACTGTTCAACAACCAAGATTTTAGTCCACATTTCCTTCTTAGTTCAACCAAAATATAAAAGGTGAATGTATCATCCGTTGATATCAAGGCCAAAGACCCATTTAAGAGCACTAAGAATGGAGTCACATAACATATCTCACTAATCAAGTCACATGATACCAAGTATATTTCATTTACGTCGAGCATTAACCAATGACATATTCCATTAAAGTAAATTTTGTCATTATCAGTACAAAAATTAAAATTGTCAATCACATCAAGTCGAAGTTTAATCCAAGAATTCCTTCTTAGGTTATATATCTCCCATAAAGGTTTGTAGTCATCATAGTATATTAAATCTTGATCAATTTCACTTGAGATTCTAAAATCACCTATGTTCTTAAAATATACATACTTGATCACTTTATAGTCATCTCTAACATAATCATAACCAAATCCCATATAATGAAAAAAATTGAAAAATAAAATTAGTGTCCGATATAGTGACGAACTTAGTCAGTTACTACTTCGGTTACTAATTCAATTATTGAATTGATCATTGATTCAGTCACTGAATCGGTTACTGAATCGATTACTGATTCGGTCACTGATTCAGTCATTGATTCGATCACTATACCACTACAAGAAAAAAGCATTTTAGCGACCGAAAAAATCGGTCGCTAATGTCAAAAAATCGGTCGCTAATCAGTTAGCGACCGAAATTAGCGACTGAAATGCGTCGTCGCAAAAAGCCCAGTCGCTAATGTGTTAGCGACCGATTTTCATTTCGGTCGCTATTTTAGCAACCGATTTTATTTCGATCGCAAAATAGCAACCGAAATTAATATATCAAATTGGTCGCTAAATCGGTGACAAATTTAAAAAAATAGCGACCGATTTAAATCGGTCGCTAAATCAATAAAAAAATTAATTATTTTTATTTAAGTTTCTATTTATATTTATTATCCCCAACTCTTACTTATAGTATATTTTTTAGAAGTTTAACTTACTATTAGGTTTATTGTTATTGTCAGGATTCGAACCCGGTACCTTAGAGTTGGAGGCTGAAACTCCAACCACCGAGCTACTAGGATTTTTTAATAATAACTTACAAATAAATTATATTTATATACAAATAAATGTATATCCGTATAAATATATAAATATAAAATCTATAAATAAAAATATATTTATATATTTTAATATATATTTAAATATTAATACATTGATATATTTATATATTTATATATTTATATATTTATATCTTTATATTTTTATATATATTTATATCTTTATATATTTATATCTTTATATTTTTACATATATTTATATCTTTCCATATTTATATATAAAGATATAAAGATATTAGTTTTGTATACAAATAATATTATAATATAGTATATTATACTATTAGCTAGTATAGTATACAAATTATATATTAGTATAGTATACAAATTATTAGTTTTGTAATTTATACACTATAAAAATAAATTACAAATATTATAACATAATGGTATATTAATATAATATAATATATTTGTATTCTAATTTTTAATTAAACTAAAATTCCGCTAATAATGTATAATAATATATGAGGGGATAATATTGATATATTGATATATATATATATATATATATATATATATATATTTATATATTTATATATTTATATATTTATATATTTATATATTTATATAATGATATATTTATATATTTATATATTTATATTTTGATATATATATATATATATATATATATATATATATATGATATATTTATATATTTATTTATATCCTTATACATTTATATCTTTATATATTTGAAAAAAAAATTAAATATTAAATTTTAAAAATAATATTATATTTTTAAAAATAAATATTAGAAAAAGATTTAAAAATATATATAAATTATATTTACATGTACAAAATATTAAAGATATATATTTATATCTTTACATATTTATATCTTTATACTTTATATCTTTATATCTTTACATATATTTATATCTTTATATCTTTCCATATATTTATATCTTTATATCTTTATATATTTACATCTTTATATATTTATAAAATCTATAAATATAAATATATTTGTATATTTTAATATATATTTAAATATTGATATATTGATATATTTACATATTTATATATTTATATATTTATATATTTACATATTTATATATTTATATATTTATATATTAATATATTAACATATTAATATATTTATATATTTATTTATATCTTGATATATTTATATATTTATATCTTTATATCTTTATATATTTATATCTTTATATATATATATATATATATATATATATATATTTATATCTTTATTTATTTGTAAAATCTATAGATACAAATATATTTATATATTGATATATTTATATATTTACATATTTATATATTTATATATATTTATATATTTATATATTTATATACTAATATACCATTATATTATTTTCATTGTATATAAATTACAAAACTAATAATTTTTAAAAAATTTAATGATAATTTTTTTAACTTATATATTACAAAATATTTTGTAATACTTTAATAAATATAACTTTTTTTAAATATTTTCATTAATTTAAAGTATAACTTTTAATATTTTTTAGTATTTTTTTAAATGTAGATATCTTTAATGTTTTGGACATATAAATATAATTTATACATGTTTTTAAACCTTTTTCTAATATTTAATTTTAAAAATATAACATCATTTTATAAATTTTATACATTTATTTCCAATCTATAATTTGAGTTTTTAAAAATGTTTATTTCCAATCTATAATTTGACATAAATCACATAGAAATGTATCATATGTTATATTATAGAAATGAAATTAAGTTATATTTTGGAGAATATATATATATATATATATATATATATATATATATATATATATATTAAAATATAATTTATTTTTAAGTTGATAATTTTTATTTTTATTTATGTAAATTTTATATATAAAATTAATTTAGAGTTTATATATGTAATTTTAATTTATGTAATATATATATATATATATATATATAATTTATATAATATATATAATTTATTTAACATTAAAAATAGTTATATTTTTATTAATTTTATAATTATAATTTTTTTAAGGTTATAATTTTAAATATAATTTTTTTAACTTTATATTTATAATTTATATAATATATATAATTTAAAAATAATTATTTTTTTTAATTTTAAGTTGATATATTTTTTATTTATAATTATTTAATATATATATATATATATATATATATATTAAAATATAATTTATTTTTAAGTTGATAATTTTTATTTTTATTTTTATTTATGTAAATTTTATATATGAAATTAATTTAGAGTTCATATATGTAATTTTAATTTATGTAATATATATATATATATATATATATATATATAATTTATATAATATATATAATTTATTTAACATTAATTTTATAGTTATAATTTTTTTTAAAGTTATAATTATAAATAAGATTTTTTTAATTATATAATTATAATTTTTATAATATATAATTGATAAATAATTTTTTTAAATTTTAATTTAATATATATTTTTATTTATAATTTTTTAATATATATTTGAGAAATTAATCACTTATAATCTATAATTTGAAAAATTAATCAATTGTATATATGATAGCGGTTCCCACTGCAACCGCTCTTAAAATTGATCCTATAATAGCGGTTAATTTGGAACCGCTATTATATATTTCAAATATAATCGATTATTTGAAAATGTAATCAATCATAAATAAATATGTGGTGAGATATGATAGCGGTTCCACTGGAACCGCTCTTAAAGGTTATTCTATAATAGCGGCTCCACGTGGAACCGCTTATTATATGTTGTTTTACGTAAATAAATTAAGTTATCCTTTAGAGAATATATATTTTAATATATATATATATATATATATATATATATGTTAAAATACAATTTATTTTTAAGTGGATAATTTTTATTTTTATTTATGTAAATTTTATATATAAAATTAATTTAGATTTCATATATGTAATTTTAATTTATGTAATATATATATACATATATATATATATATATATATAATTTATTTAACATTAAAAATAGTTATATTTTTATTAATTTTATAATCATAATTTTTTTAAGGTGATAATTTTAAATATAATTTTTTTAACTTTATATTTATAATTTATATAATATATATAATTTAAAAATAATTTTTTTTTAATTTTTAGTTGATATATTTTTTATTTATAATTATTTAATATATATTTGAAAAACTAATTGATTATTTAAAAATTAATCAATTATTTAAAAAATTAACTGATTCTCATCAAGTATGAAAAAATGAAGTATGAGAAAACTAATAGATTACTTTTTGAAATAATCGATTAGTTTTTTAAATAGTTAAAAAAAAAATATATATATATATATATATATATTAAAATATAATTTATTTTTAAGTTGATAATTTTTATTTTTATTTTTATTTATGTAAATTTTATATATAAAATTAATTTAGAGTTCATATATGTAATTTTAATTTATGTAATATATATATATATATATATATATATATAATTTATATAATATATATAATTTATTTAACATTAATTTTATAGTTATAATTTTTTTATAGTTATAATTATAAATAAGATTTTTTTAATTATATAATATAATTTTTATAATATATAATTTATAAATAATTGTTTTAAATTTTAATTTAATATATATTTTTATTTATAATTTTTTAATATATATTTGAGAAATTAATCACTTATAATCTATAATTTGAAAAATTAATCAATTATATATATGATAATCTGCTCCACTCGAACCGCTCTTAAAAGTGATCCTATAATAGCAGTTACCTTGGAACCGTTATTATATATTTCAAATATAATCGATTATTTGAAAATGTAATCGATCATAATGAAATATGTGGCGGTTCCATCGAATCGCTATAATAAGTAGCTCCACGTGGAACCGCTATTATATGTTATCCTTTGGAAAATATATATTTTATATATATATATATATATATATATATATATATATATATATATATGTTAAAATATAATTTATTTTTAAGTGGATAATTTTTATTTTTATTTATGTAAATTTTATATATAAAATTAATTTAGATTTCATATATGTAATTTTAATTTATGTAATATATATATATATATATAATTTATATTTTCGTTAATTATAAATTTAAATGTGTTTCATAAATAAAATTATAAATTTAAATGTATTTCCACTTTTGATCCATCATAAATAAAAATAAATAGTTTCTTATAAATGTTGTTCTATTTTAATTCATCATTAAATTTGTTTTATATACGAATTTGATGACTTATCATGTTGTTAAAAATTTGGATGAAATAATTATTTATAATACTTTTTTAGTATATTATGTTTTTAAATTTGTTAATAGAGAAAAAGTTTCAGAATTCAAAATGTTAAATACTTTTAAATATTAAAATTGACTTTATAATAAATTAGGAAAAAAATAATTAATCCAAAAATATAATAATGATAAAAATATTATAAAAAAGAGTTCAAAAATATATTATAATATTTTCAGTTTTAGTTTAATTATATTTTTAATTCTCAAAGTAGAAAAATATATTGTAATTATTTTAATTTAATAAAATATAATTTAGATTTTTAATACTAAAATTAAAATATTAAATAATAATAAATTTAATTCTTTAAATTTAGTATTTATAAACTAAAATTATAGTTTCTCTCTTTTAAAAAAATTAAAATAAATATTTAAAAATAAAAATAAAAACTAGTATTATCTTAAATTTATTAAAAGTATAATTAAATCTCTATTTTCTTATGCAATTTTAGAAATTTTTTAATGAAAATCCAATATATAAAAAAGTTAAAATTTTAAAAAGGCACAACCTTAATTTATATTAACTATTTTTAATATAAATTTAAATATATGTTGAATATAAATTTTAAAAAGGCACAACCTTAACTATGTTGAATATAAATTTAAATATATTTTTCATTTATTTAAATATGGTTTATTTTTAGTATTTATAAAATAGATTAATTTTAAACTTTTAATCTTTTTTATTAATTATGTTCAAAATAAAAAATATTAATTAGTATACTTAAACTAAAAAATATTTTAACTAAAGATAAATATATTTTTATAAATAGTTTAATTAAATAATATATTTATTATCTAATATATATTGATATAATTTTTTTTGGGTATATCAATTATATGACAACAACCATGATTAAGTAATTAATAATAATAAAGCAATAAATTTAAAAATTAGATTAAAAATAAAGTATTATAAAATAAAATTGTAATCATTTGATTAAAATTGTATTTTTTAAATTAATTAAGTTAATGAGGAATTAAAATGTGATAATTTGATGTATTTAATTTTTTTAATATAAATTTTTAAAATATAATTTAATTTCAATTGAAATTTTCAATTGAAAAATAAATTAAAGAATATTTGTTATTAAACTTTTCCTAAACAATGTATTGAATAGTTAATATCACTCTAGTCTTAATTTATTACAATTTAAATTTTTAATAAATTTGATTTATTACAATTCATTTTGTTAATATTGAGACCAAAGTTTATTTTTAAAGTATATTTTAAAAATTAAATTATTTTTTAAAAAATAAATTACTTTTAAAAAATAAATTGTAAAAAATATACAAAAACAATTAAAGTATATTTATAAAAAAATAAATTTAAATATAATAAAAAAATAATATTCATTAGCTACCGATTTCATTTCTGGTCGCTAAATCGAGTCGCTAATTGCGACCGAATTAAAGTGGTCGCTAAATTGGTTGCTAATTGCGATTGAATTAAATCGGTCGCTAAATCGGTCGCTAATTGCGACCAAAATTAAATCGGTCGCTAATTTCGGTGGCTAAATATGTTTTTTCTTGTAGTGTACATTAGTGGTCAAAGAATATCTGATTGACGCATGTTAGTCACTATTTTGATCACTATTTTTATCAGTGACCGATTTTGGTCATTTAGTGACTAATTTTTCTGTCACTATTTACTAATTTTCTTGTAATGTTTAAATCATCAAATCAAAATCATAATAGCACCATGAAACAAATTCCCCTTTCCTCACAGATACACACAACAGACAATAGATTCAATTTCAGTTAAAGACTAATAAAGTATACGCTTCAAACACTAAGAAGAGGCTGAAAGTGAAAATGTACAATTTCAAAATCTTAAGAAAACTTAGATATTAATAAACTAGGAAATCTAGAGGCTTAATTGAGGAAAATACATGGTGAATCTAATTGAAAAATAGAATGAAAGAGAAATCAAATTAAAGTGATCGAAAACACTAACAGTAAAATGTTATTACTTTTTACCCAATAAAGCAGAGGACAATTTATAAAATTAAAATGTGCAGGTTTTTACCCAAGAACATAAAATCACATAACGATAGTAAGCCACAAAGGTAGTAGTAATACCAAACCAAGTGGCGGAGGCAGAACAATATCGAATCAGGTCGTGGAGGCAGAACAACACTGATTTGAACTGCAGAGGTAACAGTGACACCAAATCAAACTGTAGAGGAAACAATGGCACTGAATCGAACTGCGAAAGCAACAGTGGTGCCAAGTCCAGCCACAGAGGCAGTAGTGGCGTCAAATCAAGCCACAAAGGTAGTAGTGGCACCGAAACGAACTCTAGAGGTAGCAATAATACCAAATCTAATTGTGGAGGTAGCAACAACATCATATCAATCCACAGAGGCATCAATGACACAAAATCGAGCCACGGATGCAACAATAACACTGAATTGATCCGTAGACGCAATAACCACACTGAATCTACCTGTAAAGAGAGCAACAATGTGACTATGGGTGAGGAGCAAGTCGTAGGTGAAAGAATCATAAAGAGGGATAACGAAGAGTAGATTAAGATGCAGAGGCAAAAAGGGCGAGAAAAATACCAAGATTTGTGAGCAAGGATAACATATACTTTATTATTTAACATTTATTTTAACTAAAAATAAAAGAAAATAATGTTATAAAAATACTATTAATTCATATTAAAATCAAGTTATTAATATTAATTTCTAATTTTATATATAAATAATATTAAATTTTATTTTTAAATTCTCCTAAAAGATCTTTTTTTAATTCTCCTTAAAAATGAAAATATAGAAATTATTAATTTAATAATTAATATTTTAATATTTATTAATTAAATAATTAATATTTTGACATTATATAATTATACAAATAAAAAATTATATTAATTATTAAATAAATGTTGGTTTAATATTTATTAATTGAAAAAAATTAATAATAAATAAATAAGATTCATATTTATTTAATCAAATAATTAGTTTATTAATATTTATTAATTAAATAGTTAATAGATTAATATTAATTAATTATATAAATATTACAATAATATTTATAAATTAAATAAATATAAGATTAATATTTATTAAATAAATATAGAAATTATTAATTTAATAATTAATATTTTAATATTTATTAATTAAATAATTAATATTTTGACATTATATAATTATACAAATAAAAAATTATATTAATTATTAAATAAATGTTGGTTTAATATTTATTAATTGAAAAAAATTAATAATAAATAAATAAGATTCATATTTATTTAATCAAATAATTAGTTTATTAATATTTATTAATTAAATAGTTAATAGATTAATATTAATTAATTATATAAATATTACAATAATATTTATAAATTAAATAAATATAAGATTAATATTTATTAAATAAATAAATAAATTATTAATATTTTATTAAATAAATAAATAAATTATTAATATTTTATTAAATAAATAAATAAATGAGTAATATTTACTATTTCAATAAATGATAGATTAGTATTTATTTATTAAATAATTCATATTATACATATATATATATATATTGAATAATTATTATAGAAATATTTTTTATTAAATAATTAATATTTATTTTTTTATCCTACCAATGGAATTATGGATGATTTTTTTAAATCATTAAATTTATTATATTCCTTCAATAAATTTCGTCAATAATTTAAATTTATCGACGGATGTGTTTCATCACAATCCATTGATAGTTTTATATTTTCTTATAGGCTACAAATGTTATTACAAAATTTATTGTTTGTAGATATTTATAAAATAAAAATATATTGTTAAATAACTTCATATAATTCGGTGGATAATGTGTGTTTGATTACAACATAATCAAAAGTCATGTATGATTTATTTCTCACAAAGACACTATTTATTAGTAGAGTTTTTTCATCTTTTGTAGATGAAACAAAATCATAATGATAATTAAAATTTCATTTTCTTTATAAAATTAAAAATAATCCTATGATTTATGTATACTTCCTCGACTCTAACCATAAGATCTAAATTCAAATAATTAGTTATGTCTTACAAATCACTTACTCACTCATTTGAACCATTTCAAATAACATAAATTTTAAAACATGTTTTAAAACCTAACATGAGATTTAAATATAACACAAGTCAATGGTTCACATATTTAAGATTCATATTTTTTTTTTCTTTCTAATATTCAACAAGGAACACTAAAACATACTTGCAAGGCATTTAATCAAACATGTAAATACAAAATACATTATAGCATTAATGTAAATAATATTGATATTATCAAGGGTTTCTTAACATATCACATGCTTATTATTCACAAGTCACTTTCTATATATACAATAAAAAAATTATAATAGCAATGACAAAACTATGGGTGGAAACAAGAATAATAATTAACTATTTATTCTTTCAATTGAAAGAAAACTTTCCTTATGAATTATTAGGTGACTGAAAACCATTTTTGCTCCGACATCAACTTTTTCTATCATATGGGTACTTAAATCAAACCAAACTAGTTTACAATCCAATGTTCCAATTAGTATATTGCCCATATTTCTTGCCCCAATAGGTGATGCAAGGTCATGTAACTGTTCAACAAAGAGTTTAGTCCACATTTCCTTCATACCTAGTTCAGCCAAAATATAAAAGGTGAATGTACCTCTATCCTCTGATATCAAGGTCAAAGATCCATTTAAGAGCAATAAGAATGCAGCACAATCCATATTTGTTTCGAAGGGTAGGTTAGTCACATAACACATCTCATTAATCAAGTCACATGATCCCAAGTATGTTTCACTTACGTCGAACATTAACCAATGACATATTCCATTAGAGTAAATTTTGTCATTATCTCTACAGAAATCAAAATCGTAAGTCACATCAAGTCCAAGTTTCCTCCAAGAATTCCTTCTTAGGCTATATATCTCCCAAAAAGGTTTGTAGTCATCATAGTATATTGAATATTGATCAATTTTACTCGATAATCCAAATTCACCTATTTCCTTAAAATATACATACCTAATCACCTTATAGTCATCTCTAACATAATCATAACCAAATCCCATATATTTAAAGGAAGGTTTGATGTAATATGGTACAGAATGAACTAAACTTGGTGGAATGACCTTTAATTCATTGGTAGTTGGGTTCCACAAGTACACATCTTTCACAAAACGTCGGTAGAGACAAATGATTCCATTAATACTAGAAGAACCCAAAATACAACATTGACGCTCATTCATCCGAAGTTGATTTGGCCAATGTATTTTTTTTTCCACATTTTGAAACCTCTCACCAGAAAGTGACAATAAGGTTGAACGGTAAGACAAATCATAATCAAACTCGACACGCAAAAGAAGAGATGTATCATCGTAGTAAGGATGTTGGTTAAATATGAAATTGCTACGAAAAAGATTCATGAAATGAGGATTTTCAAGCAAGAGGGCCCATGATTTGCGTAGGCATCCAAATCTCTTGAGAGATTTCAAAGGTAGTTTAGAAAGAATGAAGAATGCAAGATCTTCAGGTAAGTGATTTCTTCCCTTTTGAGCCATATATATGTTGTCAATCTCTTGGTTAGGCAACCAAATGTTAATAAGTTGCCAGTGGTTTTTCTTATTCTCATTCCAAAGGTAAATAGGATGGATAATGAGTTGACAATATTTGTTGACAAGATTCTTGATGGTGGTCTCTTCCAAGTACTCCAACTATTGACAAAAATGAGTCAATGAAAGGAAAAAAAGAAAAGAAAAAAGGAATGGGTTAATTTATGTACCTGGTCATCCTTTAGGAAGAGGGTGATTTGGGTTCCCCTCAGCAGTTGTTGAGCATTAAGGTCTTTTTTAATAGTGAAGGAAAGACCAATGTGAGATTCCCATATATAATGATCATGGTCATTGTGTTTGGTGGTGACTGTCACCTTGTGAGCAACCAAGTACGCAGAGTAAAAGCCAACACCCAAATTATTGGCCATATCTAAAACATACACACACATGGGACTGTAATTAATGAGCATGCAATGCAAAGGAAAATGAAATACCACCATCTACGTACCAGTTTTGGTCATGCCAATACCAGTGTCGATGATAGAAAGTGTTTTGTTAGCCTTGTGAGGGACCAATCTAATGGTCAATTCATCATCCAAACAACTCTTGTCTGTGAGTCTCTCAGACTGAATTTTATCCAAAGCCTGCACATACAAATATGGATAGATTACCTTAAAAAAATATATACAAATTCAAAATAAAAGTGAAAGACCACTTACATTAGAAGCATTGTTGATAAGTTCGCGAAAGAAGATTTCTTTGTTAGAATAAAAAGTGTTGTTCATGAGACTTAGCATCTCACTCGTCTCACCCTCCAAAACCAACATCTCATCATTCTCCATTGCAATACAACTAAACAAAACTATACATTTATATACATCGTCCAAGATCAACTAAACAAAAGAAAATCACTCGTAGCCATGCATGTATATTCATTTACCACAACCACATATTTGTATTCCTCAACCACAACCACCAAATATGACCACTCATACAAAACTATCAACAATATTTAGTTTTAATCAACTAAATATTAACTTTAAAGAATTAATTAATTTGAATTGATTTTTTTTCTTTATTAATTAGTCATTATCATCATCCACTTTACTATATATATATATATATATATATATATATATATATATATATTAACTTTTTTAATTTATATATAATTAATTTTTAACTTTGAATTTTTAATTAAATAAATTATAATTAATTTACTATTTTATTGGAACGTGAACTTGTGGGATTTCGTGTGTAAATAATAAGCAAACGTTTTAATGAATTTTTGAAGTTTTGTTTTAGAAAAGTATATTGATAGTCTCTCTTTTATAGTTTCAAAATGACAGTGAGATTATAGGTCTACCTACTTGATGGGATAAAATTTGACTTTTATTTGGTGAGTTTTGAAAATATTTATTTTATTATTAGTAAAGAGTTATTTAACTATTGATACTCATATTTAAGAATGAAAATTGATTGTTATTTTTGGATAACTTAAAAATAGATTTCCTATTTTAAAATTGATGTTCCATATAAGTCTTCTAAGCAAGGACTCATATAGTAATAACATATTATATTATTCACAATTATATTCAGAAATAGAATTTGAATGATGAATTATTTCATATGTAGGATGAAATCTATCTTAAACAAATTGAGAGCATGAATGAAAGTCCTAAAGAAAGACAACTACAGATCAATGATAACAATTTGTCAAGATTATGATATGAAATTGTAGCTTAAATGAAAATGTATAGAAATCATGTTACAACTTAGCCATGGGTACAACACAAGTTTTAATGAAATTTAATCAAATTTAGTTTTAATGATACTATGACAATACAAGTTTGAAAATTAATGGTTAACTTAAGTTTTCTTTTCTATTTGTTGTTTTCTATATAAACAATGAAATACATATTTCTAGTTTCTAATATTTATGATTTTTTTATTGTGTTTATAATCCTATGTTTACAATTTTTACTGAAACTAATTTTAAAAACCAAAAAACAAAACTAAAACAAGTCTTAAATATTTCAGTGTAGCATTGATCTACTCAACGAATATCTCATAGAAAATTCATTTTTTATTTTGTCAATTTACTTAGTGGAGAACAATTCCTTTGAGCAAAAATATTGAATTTGGTAAGATAACTAATTATTATATAACATATTTTTACAAAATTGACTAATCAAGTTCTAATAACTTCTCTAATTATTTGATTACGAGCCTTTCACATTTTATAATCTTTGTTGTTGTATAAATAGGCTTGGGAAAGTCAAAAGATATAAGTTATCTTTCATTTTTATGGTTTCTATATCTAGAATTCAAAATTTCTCTTTAGTTTTTTTAATTCTCTTAGTTTATAGTGTAGACTTTTCAAATTTTTCCTCGAAGATATGTAAGAATTCTTCTCTAATTAAAAATGGAGTAGATCATATATGTCTTCTTTTCTTTGTTGTTTTAATTTACTTTTAAGTAATTTCTAATTCTTTTACTATTTTTTTGCACTTTTAAAGATTTCTAGTTTTCTAGGGTTGGTTGTTTACAATCCAATTCTTGTTTTCTTTGATTGAGATTTAATTCTTCAATATTCTATAAGAATATAACCCATTATAATTAATATTGTTTGATTGAATTTGTAAAATTACATCATCAATCAATTTTTAGGTTTATACAATTGTCTCTCTTATATTTGGTTAGGAGTTTGAAGGTCAATTAAATATGATGGATCAATTAGATTAATTAATTGAATTATGAATCATTATAATTTGTATGCATCTATCTCGGGGTTATATTTAGTTCTAAAAATTGATCAAATAATTAACCACTATTTTTCATAGATTTCATTAGTTTTACTACATAATTTTTACTATTTTCATTAGATCTTTATATTTATTATTTTCAATTGTATATTTAGATATAAAACTCATCAAAAGCACCTTTTATAACTCTTTTAACATTCATAATTAAGTTTATTATAATTTACCAATCATTCTTGAAAACATAATTTAGATTAATTAATTAATTAATTAATGTATATGTTTTCTTGTATTAGATTGTTTAATCTAGGGGAAAAATGTGTTAAGATTACTAATCACAATAAATTAGATTACACACAAGGAATACCACCAGATTTGCATGAATGCCAAGAGAGATAATAATTATAACTTAGATGTAACACATGTACAAGGAGATCAAAGACACACGCCTTATCCTTTCACATTAATATTTAAAAATTATAAATTAATTAATAATGAATATTATTATTATCTTTTAATTATTTATTCACTAATTATATTATATATTATTGTAGACATATTTTGATCTTTTTACAAGTGAATTATGAAAGGCCAATAACATATTGAGAAATAGTACATTCAATTAAACATATTTCTATACCAATCAGAGTCCTAGATTTACAAACTAGTTATCGTTTAACAACCCTCATTGATGTTTTTATGGGCGAGGAGATATCATTTTATTATATCGCCCACCACCTCATATACTTGCATTTTTAACTATTGCTTGAAAATAATATCAAAGTAATATAACCATTTAAGATTAATAATTATGGCTCTAACAAATATTAATTAAAACTATTATTCAAGTTTTAGGTTAATCCTATAACACATCTCATTGTTTGAGTCAAATATTGTTGAACTCGAGATGATATCAAATATGTTCCTTTTTAATATAACACTTAATGAAACTCATATTCCATTCAAATACTTTTTCATTATCGTAGGTGGAATTACAACTTTGAAATTGACATCAAGATTAAATTTCCTCTAAGTGTTACTTCTTAGTGTGTCACATTTTTTTTCCAATTATTATTTAACAAGATTAGCCGGTAAAATAAAAATATTTTATATATATATGTAAAAGTAATTTACATTACAATTTTTTTTACAGGGTATATAAAAGAAGAAAGAATTTTATTTATTTTTATTCCTTCTATTCTTACTACAATTATACAAATATTTACACTGTCTGGTGAAAACAAACTGATTAAGGGGTTTTGGTTAATGGTAGGGGACATACAAAAGGTAACCACTATCGGTCCATCTAGCATAATTGAAGTTTCTATATCAGATGCAAATGTTAATATTGATAACTTTGTCCCTTTAAAAGTAACCAAGTTGTCAATGAAATTTGTATTCCAAGTAGTTCTTGGGAAGAAGGCTACTTGCAGAAAAATGATTTGGGATATTTGACACCTCCATCTATTTAAGTTGATATTTAAATATACCATGCATAAAAGATCACAATAAGGAGTGAGAACAATTATTATTTAAAATAATACAATCTTATAATATATATATATATATATATATATATATATATTAACTTCCTCAAACATCCTATTTTATGAAGTTTTAAATTAAATTTATAGTGACTAGTCAGGATAAATGAGCCAAATTTTAACAGTGATAGCTACTCATTTTAATCCCCAAGGTTTAACCTCCATCTACAATATAATCAAATCTTCACAAATAGATATTGTAGACCCCAAATCTTGCCCGGCCTCCAAATAAAGACCAGAAGACCTCCTATTTGAAGACGGCCGAAGCCTAACAAGCCACTAGGAGAGACTATTAGGCCCCCGTACTAGGATAGGAAGGTTTTTTGGCCCAAAAATAAAGTTTCTCGCCCTGAAGGGACGAGACCGCCGTCTGGAAGGACCAGACTGCCGTCTCGCCTCACGCGCAGGGACGAGACCGCCGTCTCGCTTGTCCAGTCGGCGGTCTCGCCACCTGCAAGGGTCGAGACGGCGGTCTGGGTTTTCCAGATGGCGGTCTCGACTCCTGCCTAGTCGAGACGGCGGTCTGGATTATCCAGACGGCGGTCTCGACCCCCTGCCATGGTCGAGACGGCGGTCTGGATTGTCCAGACGGCGGTCTCGACCCTGTCAGACGAAACGGCGGTCTCGACCTGTCAGGCGCGGAAAACTATAAATAGGGGCTCCATTTCCCCTTTTTTCCACACACCTCACAATAGCTCCTCCTTCTCTCTAGACTTTTCTCTCTCTAGAACCCCTCCGAAGCATTTCCGGAGTTTCTGAGTGTCTCTAGGTATAAATTGAGCGTTCTAAATCTTCTTTAGAATCCCTCTGAGGCATTTCTGGAGTTTCTGAGAGTTGTAGAGTGAAGGGTTGCCAAAAAGCACCCACTCTTTAAAAAGAAATATAAGAAGCTTGGTTTGGAGGTGCACACTCTCTCTTTCTAACTTTACCGCTTTCATTTAAAATTATGCAATAGGGGCCATGTAGTCATAATCTTTAATACCGTATAATAAAAGGGTAAAAGCGCAGTTTTCCAGTTTAATTATTTATCCAAAGTAGTCGGCCTATCATAGGGAACCCGAAAGGGGCTTCGTAAAGGAACTAACACTTCTTTTACACGTAACTAACTCCCTTACCCAACTCTGGTTCTAATGACCAAAGTTGGTTTTCAAAAACCAACGCCTTTTTAAACTCCTTTTCCGATGTTTCCGGTAAAAACATCGGTGGCGACTCCATAGAACCCAAAATAAATAAGTCCTTGGGTTAGCCCGGTTATCGGACAACCCAAGGACACTTTTTGAAAACCTCGCCCCTAGGTTAGCCCGATTATCAGACAACCTAAAGGCGTTGTAACCACCCATAAAAAACGCGAAAGAGGGAGAGTCGAAAAAACCATCGCGTCGCTCTGACCGCGCCCCTTTTTGGGAGGCGGCGACAGATGGCGACTCCACTGGGGAAGCCTCGAGAGTTGATCCCATTTAGTGATGGGCCGGCTTAAAAATAATTAAACCAAGAAAATAACGCTTTTACCCTGCCTTGTATTATAACATGCTTTAT